CATAATTTCCCTTTTTCTTAACCCACCTACATCGAATTTATAGGAAAGCAGAACACAGAAATATTTCCTCATTTTTCAGCCACACAGTCTCACAAAATAAACAGTTCTGTAACTTCTCATTTCTGTTCTTCTAACCGCCCTAACCTCTTTCTTGTACTAAGAGCTATTGTATTTGGAGGCATGTGGATTTAGAACTCCCAACTACTTCTTTAAAGTTTAGTTTTTAGGGGCCCGGCGTGGTGGCACAGTGGTTAAGGTCCTCGCCTTGCACGCCCGGGATCCCATATGGACGCCGGTTCTATCCCGGCGACCCCGCTTCCTTTCCAGCTCCCTGCCTGTGGCCTGGGAAAGCAGTCGAGGACGGCCCAAAGCTTTGGGACCCTGCACCCGCGTGGGAGACCTGGAAGAGGCTCCTGGCTTCGGATCAGCATAGCATCAGCTGTTGCGCTCACTTGGGGAGTGAATCCATGGATGGAAGATCTTCCTCTCTGTCTCTCCTCTCTGTATATCCGCCTCTCCAATAAAAAATAAAAAAATAAAAAAAAAATCTTTAAAGTTTAGTTTTTAAATTATATTTTCAAAGATTTATTTGTTTATGTGAAAAGCAGGGTGAGAGAAAGGAAGTGTCCCCCATTCCCTGGGACACTCCTCAAAGGGAATGGGGCCCAGCAGCTGGGGCTGTTTCAGATGAAGCCAGCAGCCTTGAACTCAGTCTGGGTTTCCCATGTGGGTAGCATGGATGAATTCACGTAAACCATTTCCTGCTGTTTTGGGGCACAGGAGCAGGGTGCTAGATAGGACGTGGAGAAGCCCAAGCTCAAACTGGCACCCTGCCTATGAGATGCTGTAATCACAAGGTATGATTAGCCTGCTGCACCGTAACACTAACCCCTTTAATGATCTATGGTAACACTGCTTGTTCTAACAAATGACTGAAATTCTGAAATCCTAGCTAATTTTTTTCCCTAAGGCAGTACTACTTTGAAGTGCCCCACAGAAAAGAAATGTGGATTTATATTTTTAAAAATTAGTGTTCCTATCCTAAGACCAATAAAATAAACTAAGATTGGAAAGAATACGGAAGAAAACTTGTTGGAAGAGAATTCAAGAAACTGAGAGCTGAAGTATTGTTATAATTTTCCATAGATTTTACAGTCATCCAGAAAAAATGACAGGTGTGGCATCAGAGACAACAATGAGTCATGCATATGAATAAGGGTGGTGCCCAAGAGTGGCAACAACAGTAGTGCCATGTAATAGTGCAGTCTGAAGCCAGGAGCTTCAAGAAGGGGTTTTATAAAGAGCAAGGGGGAGCACGCTGAGAGCAGACCTCAGGGGTTGGACCTGCAACTCTAGGTCTAGAGGGGAGAAAACAGTCATTATTTGTATGAGCTGCAATGGAAGCAGGGGCCTTCCAGATTTGACATTACACAGAAAATACAAAATCCTGTGTTAACCCCATTAAAAAAAAAAATTAGCCTGCCAGGGATAACAGATTTTAAATGAAAAAATAAATTATAATTTGGTACATGTCAACTCAAAACAACTAACTAGGTTCCTACAGTGTAATTAAACCACTGTCAATGATCTACACAAATGTAACTAGCTCTCCTGATAGGATGGAAAATACATAAAACATCACTTCCTGATTAAAAAAATAATAATTCCCGCAGTTATTAAGCAGCTGTAAGTAGTAATATACTGCACATCCTCTTTGTTGATATTCAGTGCAGCTTTCAAACTGCCTACATATGATTCTAACATTCTATCAATTATAAGTGAAATTTAACATAGATTTCCCAAATGTTGTGTTAAAAAATATGGCAATGGATTTGCTGAGTTTCTGACATAAACACATTTTTTCCCTTTATAATCATCAGCCAAAACACATTCATTTGAGGAGAAGTAATTCTAGAATATTTAGGTGTGAAACCCTACGGGTTTTCTATTGGGAAAAGCATGAACTGTGAAGTCATTCTGTGGCCTCTATTTTGCATATTGCATTTGTTCAACTGAGCTGAAGAACAGCATCAATGTGTAAACTTAGGCAGTTAACTATGACCTCTAAACACCAGAATTCTCATATTCATAGTAGGAAAATAACAGTTTTCTCCTCAAGGGAGTTTTTGTAAAGACGGGTTTTTGCATGGATTAAATGTGACAATGCACATAAAGCACTTAGCAAAGTGCCCTAATGAATAACATATGCTTAATGAATGGTTCCTATGAGCTCTGCGGAAATTGCAGCTTACAGTGATTCATATGTGCATCATCTTCCTTAAGCCTTAAGACAAAACAATTCTATCCAACAAAGCGACGGACATGGATTATCTCCACAAATAAAAAGATAAAGCCTAAAAAGAAGTAAAGGGATATCCCTAAGGTTCTGCGGTTATCGAGCAATGCCTACCATGATGGAATAGATGATTATATACCAAGAATTAGCAAAATTGTTCTTAAAATGTCAGAGTAAATACCTCAAACTTTCAAAAAAAATCACATGGTCTCCTGTATCTGGTCAATTTTACACTATAGGATTAAAACAGCCACAGGCAATACATGAGCAAACAGGCAGAGCTGCATTCCGATAAAATGTTGTAAAAACGGGCGGTAGGCTGGATTTGGACACGGACCATAGAAAAGTAGTCCTCTACTCTAGACTTTTAGATTATTACTCTACCAGTATACATTTCCACTACCTTACGGCTACTATTAATTTTCAGGATAGAATAGTGGTTTAGCACTAAACAGCATTAACTGTCAGGAAAAAACAAAAGAAAAAATAATGGGTAGAAGAACCATGCATGAATTTGTTATCATATTACATAAACATAACTACTGTTTTTTCTCCTCTTCCCTCACTTCTAAAAATTTATGAATCCTTCATTTTTTTTTTCTCCTCTTACAAGGACATTAGCCTAAAACACACTTTTCTATTTCTCCAAAAGCACTGAGAGAAAATATGTTATAGAATCTTATCCTAGAAGGCGGACATCCCATGAGATGCAAGAATGAACAAAATTGGTAATTTGTCTTTTAACATGGTAAGAAATGTGGCACTTCTGAATATTTTTGGAGGGGCAATGGGAGCATTGGTAGCCAACTATTATATTTTCAATCTTTTTCAATCTTAAAGAACAGAATATTTTCTCATAAATAGAAGCAATGTCAAACGGTAGTAAAAGTGCCAGACTTGGGATTGGAAGCCACTAGTAGGAACTCCCTTTCTGCCTGTAACTCTTCTGACTTGGTAGCCTACATGTACGGAGTTGCTGTGAGGATTAAGACAAATAATTATTTTTAAATATCAAGCATGGGCTGAGTGTTTGGTATAGTAGTTAAGATGCTCCAGTATGGGACTTGGGCATCCCAAGGTGCACCTCACAACCACCTCGAGAAGAAAATGAGGGTCAGGAAAATGAGATGACTTGTCTAAGGCACACAGCTCTTAAGTGGCAAAAGATCTTGAATTCATACTCAAGTAACACTGATTCTATTTTTTAAAAGACGCATTTATTTGAAAGGCAGTGTGGCAAAGAGAGGAAGAGATAGAGAGTAAGAGACAGAAATATCTTATATCTTGCTGTTTCACTTCTTAAATAGCAGCCATTGTCAGGGCTAGGCCAGGCCAAAGCCAGGAATAAGAACTCCATGCTGGTCTCACACAGCAGGGACTCACACTGGTGCTCATACGTGACTTTGGTACAGCAGACAGCAACCTAACCTGCTCCATCAGAACACTAGCCCTTCAAGTTACGCTAATTCTAAAGTTATTGTCTTTCTCATTACCTAGCATTGCCTTTTTAACTTTTTCACTTGAGGTCCCCTTAAAGCTAATTACTCCATATAAGATGAAAAAATAATGGCTTTCAGTATAATGGAAGGCAGCTCCTCAGATAGCAGGTCACTGTCCCACAACATTAAGTCATCTCTGGGCATGGCTGTGTGGCCTAGAGGCTAAAGTCCTCGCCTTGAACACACCAGGATCCCATATGGGCGCCGGTTCTAATCCCGGCAGCTCCACTTTCCATCCAGCTCCCTGCTTATGGCCTGGGAAAGCAGTCGAGGACAGCCCAATGCTTTGGGATCCTGCACCCATGTAGGAGACCTGGAGGAAGTTCTTGGATCCTGGCTTCAGATTGGCACAGCACTGGCAGTTGTGGCCACTTGAGGAGTGAATCATCAGACAAAAGAATTTCCTCTCCAGCTCTCTGTATATCTGACTTTGTAATAAAAATAAATAAATCTTTTTTTTCTATTTTTTAAATTAATTTTTATTATATTTTTGACAATCTTTACATAGTTAATTAGGGTAAAAAGTTTCAAGGGCTATAGGAAAGTGGGTAAGACTATTATTTCCATATTGTTTCCTTCATGTTTAAAGGTGGATATTAAGGGAGAAGGCCCACCCAATTTCCAGCCCTCCCCAGGTCCTGGAAAATAAATAAATCTTAAAAAAAAAACCATTAAGTCATCCCTGAATAACAAATAAACGTAATTCTAGTGGGATTTCAGAAAAGTGCTGGTCAATAGCATGAATTCAATCTATTTACCCCTAAAGAAAATGGATAACAGCAAATAAAAGCCTTAAATGTCCAAAGAAACAAATCCATAATTTTGAAAAGAAAAAAATCCACCATAACAGTTCAATGATGTTTCAATACATAAAAAGAACATTTCCACAGGACATGGCTGAAAGCAGATGCATTCATTTCTTCATATGAAAGCTACAGACGCTATTGTGGAGTAGGGCTGGAAGTCAGGTGCTTTTGAAGGACTACATCAATAGAGTAAAAGTTTGCAAATCCTAACAGTTCAAAAAACCTACCAAGTGAGGAAATGAGAGCATATAAAACGTGTTATACATTTCCCACACTCCTCTGCCTTCATTAAACTAGTCCTTAAGAGCAGGAACCTTTGGTGTTTTGGTTTTTTTGGGGTTTTTTTTGTTTTGTTTTTTTCTCAGTTAAAAACAAACTGTACCTCCAGCCTCTGCTCACCTGTTGCAGAATCTGCCTAGTGCTCCCCGCGGATTACAATAACAGGGCAGGCAGAGCCCAGAGGTGTGGTTCAGGTAGAAGTCTTCTTGGCAGGTTTCACAGTGAAGACCCTGATAACCCGGCAGACAGGTGCACTGCCCCGTGGTCTGGTTGCAGAGATCCTCATTCAAGCTTCCAGTCCTGGAGCAGTTACACTCGTACTCTGAGAGGAAAAGGAAAGAGACATTATCAACTAAGACTTACTGCTTTCTTAGTAAGACAAACTCTATTTTTCTTAATGATATATTCAGAACAACTTTGTAAGGCTACATAAAATCAGTTCAGATTTACAGTATATCCTGTTTACTTACACTGAGAAATGGATGAGGTACACAAAATTATGCACAGTTCATAATTATAGAGCTAATATTCTCAGTTTTCTTTCTAGTAGTCTTCATTTCCTATCCCTCTTACACTACATCACAATATGATTATAAATTGTTATTTTTTTCCTGGATTGAAAGCTTCCAGTGCATACCAGAAATGTTAAATAAATGAACCCTTTCTGGGTTGGCATGTTGACTCAACTAGATAATTTTCTTCCTTCAAGCGACAGCATCTCATGTGGGCACTGGTTCATGTCGCAGCTGCTCCACTTCAACCCAGCCCCCTGCTTGTGGCCTGAGAAAGCAGAGGAGGATGACCCAAAATCTTGGGACCCTGTACCCATGTGTAAGATTCAAAGGAAAATCCTGGGTCCTGGCTTCGGACTGGCTCACCTCCAGCTGTTGTGCTCATTTGGGGACTGAATCAGAAGAAGGAAGACCTTTCTTTCTCCATCTCTCCTTTTCTCAGGCTTTGCCTTTCCAATAAAAATAAATAAATCTGGGCCCAGCATGATGGCTCAATTGGTTAATCCTCATCTTGTAGGCACCAGGATCCCACGTGGGCACCAGTTTGTGTACCAGCTGCTGTACTTCCCACCTTGCTTCCTGCTTGTGGCCTGGGAGGGCAGCAGAGGATGGCCCAAGGCATTGGTACCCTATATCCATGGAGGAAACCTGGAAGAAGATCCTGGTTCCTGGCTTCAGATCAGTTCAGTTCTGGCCACTGCAGCCATTTGGAAAGTGAAGCAGCAGATGGAAAATCTTTCTCTCTGTCTCTCCTCTCTGAAAATCTACTTTTCCAATTAAAATAAATAAATCTTTTTTAAAAAATAAAATAGATGGGTAATAAAAACATTATTCACCCAGTGATTTTTTAAAACAAACAAATAAATAAAGCTTTAATTAGTAAATACTTTCTTTTTTTTAAGATTTATTTATTTTTATTACAAAGTCAGATATACAGAGAGCTGGAGAGATAGAAAGGAAGATCTTCTGTCCACTGATTCACTCCCCAAGTGAGCGCAACGGCCGATACTGTGCTGATCTGGAGCCAGGATCCAGGAACTTCCTCCAGGTCTCCCACATGGGTGCAGAGTCCCAAAGCTTTGGGCTGTCCTCGACTGCTTTCCCAGGCCACAAGCAGGCAGCTGGATGGGAAGTGAAGCTGAAGCTGCCGGGATTAGAACCAGCGCCCATATGGGATCCTGGCGTGTTCAAGGCGAGGACTTTAGCCTAGGCCATGCAGCCGGGCCCAAATAAATACTTTCTATACTAATAGAAACTAGGCTCAAATTATCATTAATTTTGATAATCTGTTCTGGTCATACAGATTATGCCACAGCTAGAACCACAAACTAATAAGATCTGCCTTGGAAGAAATTAGTGGAGAATTGAAATTTTATGATGAGGAAATGATGAACAATAAATCCAGAAATGAAAAGTTATTGAGTTATAACCAGTTAAAATTTGAGTCCTTCTGAAAATTTTTTTTTTAGTCCTTCTGAAATTTAACGATTTAGGAAACAAACATATCTATGGGGCAGGTACTTGGCGTAGCAGTTAAGATGTCGCTTGGGATGCCACCATCCTGTACTGAAGGGTCTGGGGCAGAAGGCAGTTCCTGCTTCCAGCTTCCTGTCACTGTACATCCTGGGAGGCAGCATGCAGTAACAAGAACTCGGGCTCCTGCTTTCAGACAGAAGAGCTGGACTAAGTGCTGGGCTTCTGACTTTGACTTTATCCAACTTCAACTACCGTAGGCATATGGGGAGTAAACCAACAAGCAGATGATTTCTGTCCCTCTGACTTTTAAATAAAAACAAATAAACAAACAAACAAACAAAAGCCTGGGAGTGGGCATTGTAGTGCAGTGGTTAAGCTGCTGCTTAAGATGCCCACGTTCCTTATTCGAGTGCCTAGGTTCAAGCCCTGACTCCACTTCCAGTTTAGCTGGCACCCTGAAATGCCAATTTGAGTGCTGGCCATTCCATTTCTGATTTAGTTCCCTGATAATGGCCTGGAAAAAGCAGCAGAAGATAGCCCTGGGGAAAGCAGAAGATGCTTGGGCCTCTGCCACTGTGGGTGGTTCACATGGCCCTAGTTTTGCCAGCCGAGAACTGGCCATTGAGTTTATCTGGAAAGTGCATCAGTGGATGGAAGACTCTCTGTCTCTCCATCTCTCTGTGACTCTTCAGATAAACATGAAAATTTTTTTCAATTTTTATTGGAGAGTCAGATTTACAGAGAGAAGAAGAGACAGAGAAAGATCTTTCATTCAATGGATCACTCCCCAAGTGGCCAAATGGTCAAAGCTGAACTGATCTGAAGCCAAGAGTCAGGAGCTTCTCCTGGGTCTCCCACACAGGTTCAGAGTCTTAAGGCCTTGGGCCATCCTCTGTGGCTTTGCCAGGCCACAAGAAGGGAGCTGGAAGGAAAGTGGAGCAGCTAGGACATGAACCAGTGCCCATACGGGATCCCAGCACATACAAGGTGAGGACTTTGGCCACTAGGCTATGGTGCTGGGCCCCAAAATAGGTAAATCTTAAAAAAAAAAAATGCAAAACACCTACATTGTATATCAGAGTACCTGGTTTCAATACCTAGTTCATCTCCTAATTGGGAAGCAGTGGTATTGGCTCCAGTACTTATCTGAGTCCCTGCCACCCACATTGGAAGTCTGGTTTACTCTCTGGCTGTAGGTTCCCGGTTTTCCACACTTCATTCCCGGCTTTGGCCCTGGCATAGTCCCATCCATAGAGAGCATTTGTGTAGTGAAATCAGCAAGTGGGAATACTTTATGTCTCTCAAATAAGTAAATAAATAATTTTTGAAAGTTAGATAACTAGATAAGTGCAAATTAAAAGTTTGACACAAAAAATAACAAAAAGGTTTGCTTCTCTGACCTCGAAAAGAAAATCAGGCTTTAAAATTCTTTATGTAGTCCAAGCAGCTTATACATAAAATCAAGACAAAGGATCCCATCCATAAATTCCAATTTGGCCAACTCTGTACCTCTTGTGCTCCTATTTCCAACCTTTGGTGTTAGTTTACTCCTCTGTTATTCACACTTCTAATGTGCAACTATAACGAATGAATGAATATATAGTAGGGAACGGTTTAATTACTTTATGTGTATGTCTTTCAAGTTCGGGTAGTGAATAAGTTATAAAGCCCATACAGATTTCTTCAGTCCTAAGCTTAAAAGAACCAGCTTTCCATCATAATCAAGATTCTTCTTTTTCTAGGCTGTATCAGCGTGACATTTCTTTGGCGGTTATATCTTTCCAGTGATGCTGACTTGCGAGGCGTGTGTGTGTGTAGTGGTTTCTGTAAATACTAAAGCCATGTCCAGTGGTCTTTAAGTAAAATTTCCAACAACAATTTCATGGCAAGACTTTCATGGCACCAAAAATGACCAGAAACTTAAAATAACATTTTTCTTGTGAGACTGGAAGAAATTCAATACATTCAACTCCTCCTGCTGAACCAATTTCAACACAAGTTAAACTGTTTTGCTCGCATAGGCAGAACCAGCTCAGAAAAACTGAAAAGACTAAAGAACACTTTAATAAAGACTGAATTGTACCTTTATTATTTCTACCTAAAAACTAATTCAGTGTCCTCATGGTCCTGATGAATGAGATCATTTAAAAAAAAAAAAACCTCAATAATTCTAAGAACTGTGAGACAAAATCACCATTTTTTCAGTAAAATTTTGATGGATAAACTTTCAACTCTTTAGTTATGATTAGAGCCAATCCAATCTCTCTTATTCTGTGACATACTCTTGTTCTTTCCCTCTTTGAACTTTTGCTCAGTCTGTGCAGCTTACGGCAACTCCTCCACATCTTAATATCCCACCTTCCCCCCTTTTCAACATCAGCTGAAACTCACTTCTTCACAAAGTGTAACTATGCTCCCTATGATGAATTCCTAACAACATACAACTTTCACATGACACTAATGACACTAATTTTGAAGAAACAATAAGTGAAACAGTTATGAGCACAGACTGTAGGGGCATAGAGTGAGTTTAAAACCCTGCTCTCACTAACTTTATAACATTAGGCAAATTAGGTAACCTCCCTTTGCTTCCATTTCTTCATCCACGAACAGGAAATAATGACAGTATCTATAGTATTCAGCACCTAAGATGCAGTGGAGTGGACTTGGAGTATTGCAATAATCAACAAAACATCTGGAAGAGAAGTGTTGTACAGAAATCCAAGTGATGGATGTCCGATCTACCCATCATTGAATTCAATCTTTCAAAAGCCTGCCACAGGATACATGACAAAGAACATCTCTCTTAATGTTCAGATTGAAAAGAATAAGGAACACTTAATTCAAACTTTTGCCTAAACATCAAATAATTCTTAAAAACCAACAAGCTTTATTATTTTTACCATAGGCCTGGTTTCCTACATGTATGGTACATTGCAAAGTATATTTTTATGGGGACCATATCTCATCTCTGTAGGTTTAGACAGAAGGAATCCCAGAAAGGCCTCTTTCTAGGAAAAAAAAAATCAACACAGAATTTTTATATTTATAAAGAGTCTTATTATTTATAAAAGGTAACACTGGTACTCAAATTACACATCACATGTGTTATGCCAGGGCAGGATCACAAATCACTGAAAAGCTGGAAGAATATTATTTAAAGCTGAATTTCTAGAGTTCAACCAGATTTTGTGGAAATGTGAAACATTTTAAAGGTATCACTTTTAAAGGCAAGCTTTAAAAGCTTTATCTTTCAGAATTAAACTATACCCACTAAAATTCTTAACCACAACTTGGTGTAACAAAAGAGTTCTATTTTGTGGTAGACGTACAA